GAATTGGAACAGTACTTGGTCTCCGACTGATGACGTATCACGAGTACACGAGAACGCAAGTACGCACAAGTACGCATATTGAGAAAGGCCCAATGACTTATCCATCACCGCGTAGCCCCGCCCCTAAATCCTCACCTGCTTCCTGCTCGTATGTGCCATCCGGGGACTACTTTCTACGGTGGAAGAACACGTTCCTTCACTTGTAAATAAAAGGAAGTTGGTGCTTCCACCATTGAGCAAACAGCTGCTTTGAGCTCAGGTGTAAACACTGATTTAAAGGTACAGTGCGTACGGTTTAGTGGCTCCGCCTCCACACCATCAGGTGGGCCTGACAGCAGACTTTGTTTAAAATGGATACTTTTATGAGTTACTCAGCAGAATTTTTAGTTACTTCTTATAATGAGTATTTCCAGCTGTGTCAATGACCTTTGACCTCACAGACTGCAGGATGTGTGCTCTAACTCTGAGCGCGCTCTCAGGTGAACGGTCGGTTGTCTCTAATAAGCGACTTCCTGTCCAGTCGGGGTAAACTGACCCCTCCCTCCCACTTCCTCCCCACAGTAACCAGGATCCAGGAGTTTCTGGTTCCTCTGCGAGACACTGAACACCTTCCCCCTTTAGCCCCAAACACAGGAACGCATTTCATCCCTGCTGAAGCAGCTGCTTAATTACAGGCAATAAATTATCCAACTGTGAGGTCGGCTCAGAGGAGGCTGGAGGGAGGGGGGAGGGTTTTAGGGTGGGGGAGGCTGCTGAGGGAGGAGGATTCACGTCTCCTCGGACTGAATCAGAGGCGACTGTGTTTCCCTTGTTAGAGCTCCGGTTCGTTCCCGTCTGAGCGCCGGACGTGTTTATGTTTGTGTGCTCACACCTACAGACTGTATGTAAATGATGGTGGCAGCTGTGACATCAGTCTTTGGTGACCATATTTGGACCAAAGGTTGGCACAGTTAATGCCAGGAAGCTCTGTTATCATCCACAGACACCGGCCAATCAGTAACATCCAATCAGAATCCTACAATCTAAGTCTCCACCAATCCCGGAGCTCTGCCTTGTTGGGCGGTCTGTTAGTGCAGTGACCTCATGGCAGCTAAATGATTGGTCACATGATGTCAATAAACACGGGTGGAGCTAGCGCCGTCACCTCCCTGCTGACTTTGGCCGTCACCACGAACGTGACCTCTGAACTTTGTGAACATTGTCTGTCACACGTCTGACATGATGCATTCACTGTCTGCTTCGTCTGTGGGAAATGTCACGATAAACAAACCTCTCGCGTTGCTCCCAGCAGCCGTCAGCTCGCCGCGTCCCGGCTCCTCTTT